CTCGCACTGTTTCCCAATACTACTGTAAATACTACCATGAATATAAAATAGTATTTAATGAATAATAAACAACAACAACAACAGACATCGTAAAAGTTGCAAGACAATTCAGTCAAAAGTACAAAGGCGGCGCTCTAATATACAGCATTAAAGTTACATAAAATATAACGTGATGAGATTTTGCCCTCAGCCAAAACTATTTCCTCTGGAACAAATAATAGATTAATGAGACCAAAGACTGCCCGTTAGAATGACCCAAAACGAATTATATCTCATGTTTAACCACTATAGAGACATCAGAGCCAGCGGCAAATTCCAGAAGATCTGGCCGAGGTAAGGCTGCTCTCGGCGGGTTCATGAGCGCTGAACGGCCGCTGACGCCCTGGAGCTCACATCTCGTTGAAGCAAATTTTCAAATAGGCGTTATCTTTATTAACAAACCAAATATTTGAAGTCTAAACAAGTACATTCTCACCTAAAAACTACATTCCGTGACACAAAAACAGTATTATTTTTACATTTTAGTGGATTTGGGCATCCGCCATGACACTCGCTGTGAGAAATACGGGAAGCGGAGTGATACAAACGGTGAAAGACATGTTGGCATTCATGGTTCCCTCAATGAACTGTAGCTCCCCAGTGCCGGCAGCACTCATGCAGCCCCAGACCATGACACTCCCACCACCATGCTTGACTGTAGGCAAGACACACTTGTCTTTGTACTCCTCACCTGGTTGCCGCCACACACGCTTGACACCATCTGAACCAAATAAGTTTATCTTGGTCTCATCAGACCACAGGACATGGTTCCAGTAATCCATGTCCTTAGTCTGCTTGTCTTCAGCAAACTGTTTGCAGGCTTTCTTGTGCATCATCTTTAGAAGAGGCTTCCTTCTGGGACGACAGCAATGCAGACCAATTTGATGCAGTGTGCGACGTATGGTCTAAGCACTGACAGGCTGACCCCCCACCCTTTCAACCTCTGCAGCAATGCTGGCAGCACTCATACGTCTATTTCCCAAACACAACCTCTGGATATGACGCTGAGCACGTGCACTCAACTTCTTTGGTCGACCATGGCGAGGCCTGTTCTGAGTGGAACCTGTCCTGTTAAACCGCTGTATGGTCTTGGCCACCGTGCTGCAGCTCAGTTTCAGGGTCTTGGCAATCTTCTTATAGCCTACGCCATCTTTATGTAGAGCCACAATTCTTTTTTTCAGATCCTCAAAGAGTTCTTTGCCATGAGGTGCCATGTTGAACTTCCAGTGACCAGTATGAGAGAGTGAGAGCGATAACACCAAATTTAACACACCTGATCCTCATTCACACCTGAGACCTTATAATACTAATGAGTCACATGACACCGGGGAGAGAAAATGACTAATTGGGCCCAATTTGGACATTTTCACTTAGGGGTGTACTCACTTATGCAGCCAGCAGTTTAGACATTATTGGCTGTGTGTTGAGTTATTTTGAAGGGACAGCAAATTTACACTGTTATACAAGCTGTACACTCACTACTTTACATTGTAGCAAAGTGTCATTTCTTCAGTGTTGTCACATGAAAAGATATAATAAAATATTTACAAAAATGTGAGGGGTGTACTCACTTCTGTGAGATACTGTATATATATACACACACACACACACACACACACACACACACACATATATATATATATATATATATGTGTGTGTGTGTGTGTATACTACATATATTCTTATGATATATTCTTCTTGTGATGCCTTAAAATCTAGCCTCTGTTGACAGTTCACTAGGTTTTGGAACAGAGTCTATAACACATTATAGTGTTTTACTTTTTACAGTATGTAACATTACAGAAATCAGTAATCAATAAAAACTGTTTTCCTTACAACTGAAGGTCATTAAGCACATGAGGGTTAAAGTGAGTTTGATTTTTTTACGGTTATTTATAGACACAAAAATTATTTGAAACTTATTTACTTTAGCTCCATTCTAGGTAAACATATACAAAAGAAATGCTGGAATCAGCTCAATAATGCGCATACAGCCATGATGATAATTTATCAGAATAATATGTTTTTTTTTTACTTTTGTAGGATCTCTTTGGAAGAAAAGACTTCTTTCCTCAGAATGAGTTGATTAAGTTTTTTGCCACTGAGTTCTGCAGCAGAAAGCCTTTGAGTGTGCCGTGCGGGAACATCTTCTTTCTTCTCTGTGGTTTTGATGAGAAGAACCTGAACATGGTATAACACTCTTAAGCTTTGTTAAATCACACTTTTTTATCTCAATGGATTTGAGAATGTTTCTTCACGAGTTCCTTCATCTCTCTTTTTCAGAGCAGAACACCTGTGTACACAACACGCTGCCCAGCAGGAACCTCAGTCCAGAACATGGTTCATTGGGCTCAGGTACAAAACAACAAAAAAACTCTTATGAAAAAAACTTCTATGTGACATGTTAATATGCCTTACTGAATGTCCCATTCCATCTGCAATACACTTTAAAACATTATTTCCTCAAAATGAGTGAAAGCACAAACACCAGTTCCTTCATCTGCCTCAGAGTTCAATATCAGCATGAATTGACAGAGCAGAGAAGCACGGAGGTGTTACAATAGGGGATTTTTGGTGAGACCCACAGCTGCATTGAGATTTTTCTGGACCTGCCTGACCACATTGCCCTGCATGTGTTCTCAGGTGCACTGTATTATATTCTGTCATATATATATATGTATATATATGTATATATATATATATATGTATGTATATATA